ATATGTAAAGATAAATGTGCATTGATGTATTAGGCATTTGAACTTGCAAAGGTGCATAACTAACTCGCTCTGTGCTAGACTTTTCACTTTTGCACGGTCTATTTCAGTTTCTCAAAATAGCAATGCGCCAACAATGCACCTTAGCACACCTCCTTTTTAGATCTGTACACCCATGAGTCCACAAAGTAGCGCAAATGAAATTGCTATTTAAAGAACGTGGCACAAAACGTGAAAATTAGGGTTGTACTTGTCTGTAAATAGCAACAAATTACTCCAATGTGTCATGCCTTATTACGCGGGTGTATAATAGGGCCTATTATCTTGTATTACCTATGTATTTATACCCCATTGTTTCACTTGTCTACCTTGCAATACCTTGAATTTGCTTTCAATTATTATTATTATTTTCTCCTGGAAATGTATCCACCTCTCTGTCATTTGCCTACCTCAAGGCTAATGTATACTTCTGTGTCAAGCACACGCGCATGGTCCGGCGCAGCCTTCACATGGTCACATAGCCCTGACATTGACTCGCACCTCTTAAAAAGTGTAACTATATGTCGGAAAAAGGCATAGCACAAGCTCTGTGATTGGTCACTTGGTAGCTGTGATAAGCGTGGGCAGTGCTGAGAGCCACAAGTGCAATTGAGCGAATGTTTACAAGTGTCGAATCCATGAAAGAGCTCCAGAGGGAAAATGTTGTTTTGTGAGTCTAAATAAGCGCGTTTTAGCCACTTGTACATAAAGGTATTGTTCAGAAAAAAAACAAAACACTCTTGAAGAAACTCGATACAGACAAACATAACAACCTTCTACCAGCTAGTGTTTCAGAAATGTTATTGCAGAGCAACATCAAACAGCGCGCAGAAGTATAAATGCACAGCTATACGCAAGGCAGGCATCGTGGGTCACGGCGATCGCTTGACGCAGAAATATAAACTGTCTTTTATTTAACAATAGTCTCTTTTAAAATTTGGTTGATTTTTTAATTTAACATTGGTTACGGTTAAATACATTTTATTCTATTTTGAACATTTTCATTACTTTTTATGTTCTTAATGTTGTTGTATTGAAATTGAAATTTTTGTGCAGTTAGATTAGTATTGATGTGTGTTTACAGTAGTGAATGATATTATAAAATGTGTGTAACCCGGGGAGTGACACTGACAACAGATGTTTGGATCCACATGCAGGTTTATTCAGTGGTCAGGCAAGCAATGGTCAACACAGGTGCAAACAGATGTATAAGGCAAATCCAGAAGCGTAGTCAATATAACAAGTGAGAGGTCGAAAGGCAGGCGACAGACAGGGATAACTAAATAAACAAGACTAGGTAAGAACACGGGAAAACAAGGCTAGAAAAACACGTTGTAATGTCACTGTGGCAGATAACAAGACTCAGCAAAGTGAATGAGTGAGTGTGTTGCTTAAATAGTGTGTGCTATTAGTCTCTGACAATCCTCAGGTGGTGCGAGTGTAATCAGTCTAGATGAGGAAGCATGTGTGAGTGTCAGCGGAGTGCATGTATGAAAATGTAGTCCAGAAATGGCAGATTTGTAGTCCATAAGTTATTGTGAGTAAGATCCAGCGATCTTATGAAGTACGATCGCTGGTAATCATGACAATGTGGTACATAAACTTATTTCTCCCAAAGCAAAATGCATTTTGGACCCAGTGCAATTAAATCATTTGTGCATTATTTTCCTGCTATTTTGCATTTTAAAACAGATATCTTACATCATACCTACATATAACTGACTTATAAACTGACCTTATATTATCAGGTATATTTAGCTAAATCATGTGCTTTTGTTATCCATACATTGCCCATCTGGAAAGAGCTGTAATTTGCTACTTCATTTCAGCTTGTTGCATTTGAACCAGTTTATATTTAGTCTCAACTTATTATTTAAGGGCAGTGTGCCATTTCCTTTCCTGCTTCTAAAAAAGATGACTCCAGATGTCCCCAACTCTCTGCTGTTCTCATTACCGCCAGCAAGGTGTTCCAAAATTGAGGATGATAACGTTTATGGTGGAAGACATTAAATAAAATACCTAGATCCCATTTGCCAGGGATGGCTTTCTGTTATTGCTTTCATTTCAGACCTCTGAACCTGGAAATGAAATGATGTTCTGCAGAATGTTTAGAGCAAAATATACTTTGGCTTGATGAGACTGTTATTTGAGATTCCTTTAATGGCTTTATTGAATTATGTATTGTAAATAGACGTTTGCATTTCGTAACCAGAACACGGCAATATACAACAATGAGGTTGTGATCAGAACGTTCTCTCTTGGATTCTTATACACATTTTGATGTATTAGATGATGGTGAAAATATTTTGGAGTTCAAGAAAGGTTAATGACCTCATATGTTAATAATTTTATTCCTCTGAAATAGAATAGTAGCACATGTTTTTTAGACAATTTCACTGGATTAAATTACCACAAAATAACCATGTTATTTAGTGTTTCCTGATTTCTCTCATGGGAAAGTGGATTTGATGGCTAAATACGTGCAATTAATTAGCTTATTGAAAGCAAATAAAAGCAAATAAGTTGGAAGCAATGGAACATATTTTGTGTATTGTTATTTATATTTGCTTCATATTTGTGTTGTGCTTTGTGAAATCTTTAACACATGGCTCAGTTGGCATTTTTGTGTGGAGGTTGCATGTTTCCTCCGGGTGCTCTGGTTTCCCCCACAAGTTCAAAGACACGCAGTAAAGGTGAATTGGGTAAGCTAAATTGTCCGTAGTGTATGTGTGTGTATGAGAATGTATGGGTGTTTTCCAGTGATGGGTTGCAGCTGGAAGGGCATCCACTGCATAAAACATATGCTGGATAAGTTGGCGGTTCATTCCGCTGTGGCAACCCCAGATTAATAAAGGGACTAAGCGGAAAAGAAAATGAATGTATGAATGTTTGTATTATATGCAATATTTGTAATTCTTCAACGGATTTCAGTAGCCTATAGCTTATTTCATCTAGATCTATAACACTACAAAATGGACACGTAATTTGTAAAGTTTTGTATTCATATTTTGTATTATCTCCAAAATAAATAATCCGTCGCCCAGTCTCTTACACACATATATAGTTGAAGTCAGAATTATTAGCCCCCCTAAATTATTAAATATGTTTATTTTTTCCCCAAATTTCTTTTTAATAGAAAGATTTTTTCAACACGCGTGTTATTGAAACACCAAGGAGGAAACAGCAAAGAAATATCACTTATTAAATTAAAACTGCTTTAATTATTATTTTAAGTAACAGTCTTAAATTTAAAAGGCAAACATGAGAGCAATCTTATGCAAAAGACCTCTAGCCTATTAGGTGTTTTATGGAATATCTTAAACTGACCAGTAGCAAGTTTTTTTTCTTTCCCTTATTTATTCTTTTTTTGGCACATGTACTCATAAGTAATGTGAAAACTAGTGTAATGACAGCGGCACATTATCTTGCAAACTTTCCTCTGCTTTCACTCTGCCCTGAAGCCCTGAGGTATTTGGCGGGCTGAAAAAGGCTGGCCGCTGGCCCAAAGAAAGCCCCGCTTTGGCACGATCAGGCCCCGGAAGTGACTATGGAAAAGCGACTGGCCTCTGCTCACACTGGCTTGCTTGCTTCAGGCGCGACAGTGGAAACGCGGCTATTGTGTGTATACAAAAAAAAAAAACAAAAAACAGACCAACTGCTCACAAATTCCTTTGATTCAAAAATATTTAGCTTCTGATGAGTGTTTTTATTTTAGCCCCTAAATGCAGTCATGTAAGTGAACACAGATGCACACTCAGAAGTATTCATCACAGCAGGACATCTAAGAGAGTGGGCAATAACAGTTGTAAGTGTCCTCTCAAGCACCATAGACATGAATACATGAAAATAATGTAACTTAAAACAGCCAGCCTGTTGGTCTTCATTTTAGATTTTCTGCTCTTATTTATCCCAATTCATGATGCAGAAAAACTCTCTGAAGTTTACCAAAGACCCTCATGGGATAAACATAGCTTTGCTGTATACCTGAGGCAAGAAAAATTAGAGAAAGCGCAAGATAACCAGCAACAATCTCAGTATTTCTGTGACGGCAGAGGGTACAGAGTGGTCAGAGGAAGAGATAAGCTGAAGAGTGGTGCTTTGATCTGATCTGCAGTAATTCTCCATCTCTCTGCGGTTGTGGCATGAACACGGCTATTTGTTGAACCTAATATCCTTTAGTTTCGCTCGCTTTCTGTGAACATTTCCCAATCTGCTATGGTTTTGTCTGAATTTGTTATGTCATGCATGGATATGCAGAGATAAATATCTTGTGAACAATCCCTGGAAGTTTTTCTTTGGTTTGGTGTGGTCTCAGAGACTTATTTTGTGAGTTTGCAACTGCTCATTTTGAGAACTAAAGTTTCAAATTGATGATCAAGTTTGATTATCTACATCTCCAATCATTTAAAATAAAATTATTATGGAAAACACTTCAAATGACTTATTGTGAAGTGCTTCTAATTTATAAAAGGTTTTGTCAATTTCTAAAAGGTCATAAATGATAACTAGAATCCAGCAAACGCCTCTTTTTTTTACTTTTTTTTGTCCAATATTGTCAATGACAGTTCAGTGTTTTCTTTCTTCGGCAGAGTTGATATTAATTTTGACCTGCTGGACAATCAAATCAATCCTCTGCCTTCCTCTGTCTGTTGCTATTTAATCATATGCCGTCTTCACAATTGAATTGGACAAGGTGACCTTTAGTTGCTCGTGCAGATGTGAGCTGTCAAAAAGTCCTTCATATCATATCAAATGCTTCTCTCTAAACCAGACTTTGTGTTTGACTTTGAGGGAAAGCTGTGATTGCCATGATATTTTGATTTAAGCAAGATGTGAACATGAAGACTTGTTCCAAGCAGTCACCTTAACATGTTAGCTAAACTCAAGATGTTTATGCTGAAATTGTTTGACTTACAAATTCTAAATACTTTTTAAAATCTGTGTTTTTCCTTTCACTTCACTAGATAATCTACTGATAGACTACCAGTTCACCTTCAGTCTGCTTCAGGAAGACGATCAGCACTACACTGGTATTAACTTCATGGCAAATCCAGAAGAGGTCAGTGCCTTTACAGAGAATTAAGAAACAAGCTTTTTAACTATTTGTATTTTATTTTGAAGTGTACTCCAAATAACATCTTTGTAACAACAGCATTTGTGTCCTAAAAAGACACAATGACAAGATGTTTTTTTTTTTTTTTTTTGAGCACAATGGATGCTAAAGTAATATGTGACAACATAATTACAGCCATTCATTTGATAGTTACTGCACTTTACCTTTTAATTAGGAAACTAAAATGTGTTAAGCTTGTAATCAAAATTGACGTCGGATGAATGGACATACAGATTGATGGATGTATGTATTGATGGACTGATGCACAGATGGACGGATGATGGATGAATGGATGGATGGATGGTTGGAAAGACAGATTGTTGAATGGTTGGACTAATGCACAGATGGATGGATGAATGGACTGATGCACAGATGGACTGATGTATGGATGAATGAATGGACAGAATGGAATGGGTGGATGGACGGATGCAAATATGGATTAATGGATGATGGATGGATAGACAGATAGATATATGGGCAGTTGGACTGATACACAGATGGACTGATGGATGACGGGATGGACAGACAGACAGATAGATGGATGGATGGATTGATGCACAGATGGATGGACAGATGGATAGACAAACTGACGGACGGATGGATGGATGGATGGACTGATGCGCAGATTAATTAATGAATGACGGATGAACAGACAGACAAACATATGGATGGCTGGACTGATGCACAGATAGATAGATAAATAGATAGATAATTAGATAGATAGATAGATAGATAGATAGATAGATAGATAGATAGATAGATAGATAGATAGATAGATAGATAGATAGATAGATAGATAGATAGATAGATAGATAGATAGATAGATAGATAGATAGATGGATGGATGGATGGATGGATGGATGGATGGATGGATGGATGGATGGATGGATGGATGGATGGATGGATAAATGGATGGACGGAGGGACGGCCGGATGGACGGACAGACAGATAGATAGATAGATGATAGACGGACGGACGGACGGACGGACAGACAGACAGACAGACAGACAGACAGACAGACAGACAGACAGACAGACAGACAGACAGACAGACAGACAGACAGACAGACAGACAGATAGATAGATAGATAGATAGATAGATAGATAGATAGATAGATAGATAGATAGATAGATAGATAGATGACAGTGAGTTGGATGGGTGGATGGGTGAACAGACTGGTGGATGAGCGAATTGTTGGATGAATGGACTGATGAACAGATGGATGAATGAAATGACTCATGCATGGATGGGTGGATGGATTGAGGGAGGGAGGGAGGGAGGGAATGATGGATGGATGGATGGATGGATGGATGGACAGATGCACATATGGATTAATGGATGATGGATAGACAGACAGATGGATGGATGGATTGATGCACAGGTGGATTGATGATAGATAGATAGATAGATAGATAGATAGATAGACAGACAGACAGACAGACAGACAGACAGACAGACAGACAGACAGACAGACAGACAGACAGACAGACAGGGAGATATGGATAGATGGATGGATGACTGGATGGATGGATGGATGGACAGACAGATGCATTGATGGATAGATGGACTGATGCACAGCTGGATGGATGAAAGGACTAATACATAGATAGGATAATGGATTGATGAATGGATGGACAGAAGGATGGATTGATGCATGCATGTATGTATGGATGAATGACTGATGCACAAATGGACTGATGAATGGATGAATGTATGGACAGACAGACAGACAGACACATTGATGATTGGACAGTTGGACTGATGCACAGATGGATGGATGACTGGACTGATGGATGGTGGATGGATGGATGAACAGACGGATGGATGTATGGATGTTATCCACATTTTTGTAATTATGGTAAAAATACAGTTTATTCTGTATTACAGTTGTAACATATCTTTTGTTTATGTTGTTTGTCTTCCAGACCAATAAGAACCTCGATATGTCAATAAATGCATCTAACAATTTCAACCTCAACATTACATGGTCCATCGGTTCAACAGGTAAAGTATTTCATGTTAAAATAATGAAATCCCAAAAGAAAGAATGACTTTGTAAAATAGTTTGAGCTATATAGGCCTGCTGTGTGAAGCCATTTGTCAGGGCATTCATAAAATGCTTTTTGATTTCAATTAAGATACACAGACACTGCTCTTGCACAGGCAAATGCCTAAGCGGACTAGTTTTCATTTAGTTGCTGTTTGAATAAAGCTGTAGGACAAGCAGATATGCGGAGAAGTGTTATAGATTGCCCTATAGACACAGATAAAGCAGACTCCCTGTGGTCACTGCAGTAATTCAGATATAGTGCTCGAATGTAACAGTCATTGTCATGAGAGCACATTTAAAGAAATATTGAAGACTGAGCTAAAAAAAACGGTTAATGGAAATTCACATTTTGCATTGTGATAAATTGCTGATAAGTAAAAGTAATCTTAATGGAACAGTCACTTTATGGGTCATCAGGGATACATTAGTGTAGACTGACTGACGTTCATGTTCATTTGCGGTTGAAGATTTACTGTATTATGATAGAGCATGTACGTTGTAAAAATGATTTCTCAAACTTGTAAATCACTTAAATTACGATTTGTTACTTGCATAAAAAAATTATTTCTGCAATCTTAAAAGTTTCTTCAGTTTGGTCTGCTTCTTTTTTGTAATGTTACATTTGGTCGCAACTTCAAAAAGAGCTAAAAACTAGCAAAAAAAGACTAGCAAAAAAAGCTTATTTACTCACCATGGTGTTGTTCTAATGCCCTGTGGTCTTACTCATGTTTTTTGCAACACAAAAAGAGAATCTAAAAAATGGTCTTGCTCATATGCGAGTATTTGATGGCTCTGAATTGCAAGCAGCATTAAACTTTTATAAAGGGTTGAAAAATCGTGCTGAATGGTGTCATGTGCCATATTTTTTTCATGGGTTCTGTAAGTCTGTGTTGTGATAGTCGGTACATTGGTACGCATCTCTTCATTTGTGATAGTCGGTACATTGGTACACATCTCTTCATTCGTGAGGTTGTATTTGTGCTGCGATTCACAGAAAAAAGTTCACAAGTTATTAAGTTAAATATGTATGTGCATCAAAACAAGAAATCATCTTCTAAAGTTAATTTAATATTTAACTGTTATGTGGAAATGTAGCTTTATTTTTCTAGTCATGATATTTTGTGCATAGTTGAAATGTTTAAACTTTTTGTCCCTGGCGTCTTTTTGACCTGCAAATAACATTTGCTAACATAGACAAATTCTCATTGTTCAAATGGCATAAGACTTTGTACTGTGTTCAACACTAGATATTTGGGCTGCACGATTCTGGCTAAAATGAGAATCATGATTTTTATAAATTTTTTTTTTTGCTTAGAATAAAGATCATGGTTTTCTTATGATTGTAGATGAAAAATAAAGGTTAATATGAGCAGGCTATTAGTATTGTTATTTCTCAAACACAAGATAAACAATAATATATTAGACCTACAGTATGTGTAGGTCTACTGTTGGTTAAAATGATACATTTTGGATGAACTTGGAATTGTGGACTTGAATAGACTTTAAATTTGTCCTGGTCGGTAATGCACAGTAAAGTGATGAATATCAGAATACTCTTTATAACTTGAATAATAATAATACTAAGTTAAATTATTATGTTTGAGACATATGCTTACAATCTGTCATGTGACATTATTTAGACCAATTTTCTCTTGGTAAAATCAGACATTTGCCATTATCAGATTCCCTCCTGCATTATATTCAACATTATATAGGCTAGAGATGTTATAGTGACACTGTTAAACATTTATTCTTACCCACAACACTTTGTGTTCACTATAAAAGAAAAAAAAATCCAATGATTGTTGTAATTATAACTCTAAAATGCAATATAATCATTTAAATGATGTGCGCACTTTCGGTTTTACTTTTACTGTCGAGTACGGTTCATGTCATGACTGTCGTCATTCCGAGCAAAAAAACAAAAAAAAACAAACAAACAAACAAACATGCAAATCATATCATGGGTCCCAAACAATCACTCTGTGCGACAAACTGAATGTTATTTACAAGTTTCTTATATGTTATTCACAGCCTATGCAGGTTCTGTCTGTTAAAGTAGACCTCATTCACAAACATGCTCTCTGTGGAAAAACACACAGCTCACGGTCAGCTCATGTGTGATTTCATGTTTGCGAATAAATGATTATATGAATAAAAGAATTGTATTTTTGAGTGAAAAATATCTTATTAAAACAGTAGATGTCTCTTTCAACACTATTTATTGTCCTGAGCAACGCATATAAAACAACGTCAAGACTTGTGTGACCGCCTTTATGCTTCTCTTTTGACTTTATTATTAATTTATTCATTTTCTTTTTGGCTTAGTCCCTTTATTAATCAGGGGTCGCCACAGCGGAATGAACTGCCAACTTATCCAGCACATGTTTTACGCAGCAGATGCCCATCCAGCTGCAATCCATCTCTGGGAAACATCCATACAAACTCATTCACACTCATACACTATGGACAATTTAACCCACCCAATTCACCTGTACTACATGTCTTTGGACTGGGGGGAAACCAGAGATGCTAACTGACCTAGAAAAGGCTCGAACCAGCAACCTTCTTGCTGTGAGGTGACAGCGCTACCTACTGCGCCACCTCGCCACCTGACCTGATTATAATTGGCTGAATCTTAGAAATTCTGAATAAAGATCATGCGGGGGATGATATCTAGATCATGATCTTTCTTTGATTAATCGTGCATCCCTACTAGATATAAAAAAGCTGAAATGCTATCTTAATTTTATTTTAATATAAAAAAGGCATATTCATGGACTTTTCAGAAATGAAGTGGCACACCTCCAGCAAAGCAAAAAAAAGTGGTTCTGCACATTTGTTTAAAAAACACGTCATATAACAGCAGCTCAGGTTTGGCTGTGACAGCCAAACCTAATGGTTACAAAGTTCACAGATTCAAATCCTGGCACGGCAGGGTTTAACTGGGGGAGTGAATAACCAGCACTCACACCACCCTCACTACCAAAGCTGAGGGGATTTCCTTGAGCAAGGCACCAAATGCCTAACTGCTCCCAGAGCAACCCACTGCTGCGGGTTTGTGCTCATACAGTGGGTCGATTTGGATAAAACAAGTGTCTGCTAAATGCTTCAATGTAAATGTCTTGTGCATTTTTAATCAGTTACAACATCACAGGCACACTGTTTTCAGGAGTTTTCAGGAGTTTTTTTAACAAATAGTGTTTTTTTAATGAGTATAATTATTTCATACGTTGTACTGTTGATATTAAAAATAATAAAAAAAATAGTCTGTATATAGGTGTTTCCCAGGATTGGGTTGGAGCTGGAAGTGCATCCACTGTGTAAAACATATGCTGGATAAGTTGGCAGTTCATTCCACTGTGACGACCCCTGATTATAAAAGGGGTTAAGCCAAAACGAAAAAGAATGAATGAACGAAAGTTGGCAGTTAATTCCGCTGTGGAGACCCCTGATTATTAAAATACTAAGCTGAAAAGTAAACAAATGAATGCTAAAAAGTTGTTTTGTTGCCTGTTGTCTTTAGAGACCAACAATAAACAACCCTAAACGAGTACCAGGGGTCAATTTGAATGTAACTCTGTGCTTTTCTATTACAAAACAACTTTTAATACTCATGGATCCTGATGATACATTAAGGTTTTATGAAACAAAACTATCAGTCACAAGAAACTGAACGTTACTTAAAACATATATCCACAGCTTCGCCAAATAGTCCTAAATGGGCACGCAACAGTCTATGCAGCTTAACCATTGACTTCAACCACCATAGGCCAAGGTTTTGTCTTTTTTCTACTGAAAAAGAAAAATGCATCTTGGATTGCCATAGTAGCTGTAAATGATTTGGAAATTTACCTCATTTTGGTTTTCTTTTTTGGTTCAACATCAAAAGTTCATGCGTCAGTTGAACATCACCATCAATGCATAATGGCTGATTTTATTAGATTTTTGATAAACTACTTGTTTAACTCTTGAATCTATTTAAACCCTCACTATAGAAGACTTTTTAAATATTTAATTGTGACACATTCCCTATTGATCATGCTGGCATTCAAGCACAGCTCTTTACAATGATAATATAGATCTGCATCAGATGTTGTAAAGTTGAAGGGTCGATCAGAATAATAGGCCATATTTAATCTTGCAGAGTGTTTTGTATGCAAGCATTGTTGTTGGCTGACATTGTGTTTTTTTGTCCCTGCAGCAGGTACGATCTCCGGGGAGGAATTCCCTATAGTGTCCAAGACTAACATCAAAGAGTACAGAGACAGTTTCTCCTGCGAGACCTTCTCCTTTCTGGCAAATCCCAATATCACTTTTCATGTGTATGTCAGCAACTTCTCATGGCCAGTCAAAATACAGGTAAGATCAACTGCTACCTTTGGTGTATGTTTCATATAATCAGTCTAAAACTCCTTATGTTTCAAGGTTGCATTGTTGTTGATAAGATTAAAACTAAAACTAAAACAGTTTAAAAAAAAAAATAATTATATATATATATATATATATATATATATATATATATATATATATATATATATATATATATATAAACAACACAAGAAATTGAAAAAAAAAAAAAAAACAAGCGAAACTTACAAGTTACTGACTATTAGCAAAAAAATGGTGGTTTTCAGAATTAGACTAATTCTGTGGCAGAAAATCTGACCTGTGGCTTTAAGTAATTGTAGATTGTGCTTTTACAGTCAACCACTTTATATATAAATAAATATAAATCTTTTTCAACATCACTTCAGTTGCCAAATAAAGTCAAACAAGCGTGTTTAACTATATTATCTTTAATATTTAAAAGTTAGTCTGAATTTCCTTAAACTTCACTTTAATTCATTTAAGCTGCATTTTACATGTTTTTCAGTTCACACTCTCCACAAACACACAGGGATTATCAAAAAAAATATTTGTATTTATTCACACTCACTTCAATGTCTGTAGGAATAAAACTTAGGAGTATAAATATACAAGACATGAATTACTAATGACAAACAGGTGAGCAAGCACAGGTGAAACCAATAAATATTAATGAGGGCGGGAAAACAGAACAGAGGAATCACATGATACAACAAAAGATAGCACATGTAACATGACAGGGAGAAACAGAATTCTAACACTAAGTTGATTTAAGCTATACAAACAAAACTGCTTTAGTCAGGATTTTTTTGGACTTTTTGAAAGTAGTGCATTACAATATTGAGCTACTCCCCCTAAAAAGTTACTAACTGCATTACTTGGTTACTTTTTATTAAAAAAATTATGCGTTATATTACCTTTTAGTTACTTTTGCATTACTTTTCCTTATCTGCTTGAGGTTAACCTCAGAACTTGCAGGTGTTTTTTCACCTTTTTATGGAGAAGCTCTGCATTTAACAGCCATCTATAGAACCTACACCTTCATTTTCCTTTAAAAAAGGTAGGATAAAAATATGTTTTGAGAACCTTCTGAGCCCAGATTTACAGTACACACTATATATACAGATTAATGACAGCATGTAAAGTAATGTGTTTGCTTCTTTTGAATTTTTAGTGTTATTATTTAAGTAAATTCACTGTCCATTGAGGTAAAGACTGCAATAAAGCCTAAGAGTACTAACACAATAATTTATTTAGGCAAATACAGATTTTTTTAAACCTTTAAAATGTTTGATAACAAAATGAATAGGAAGACGATAAAAAAAAAATATTAAATCCCCAAATCAAAATAATTCCTTGAGCTTTATACATTGGATAAATTGCTTCATGTGGTCTTAACAAATGTGTAAATTGTTTCCCAAAAGAGAAAAAAATTCTTACTATATTACAAAACGTATTTGCTTCTACAGTAATGTTAGACAGTGGCTGCACCTCCTCAACGATAAAATCAATAACCTTTTTTTTTAGGTTTAGTCAAACTAATTCTTTTACCTGGAGGAAGTGAACTGATGTCGATCATAGCTGCCATTGTTTCTGTTTCTGTCTGTAGTGATAATGGGCGATTTGTGAATGAATCATTTGTTTTAACTGGATTGTCATGAAAGGTTTGCATCTTCAGAACAGAGCTTCACTTGCGAGAAAACAGTTAAACGGGTCATCTGGAGTGTAAGAATGACAGATGAGCCATAGATAAGGAAACGCGTTGTACGCACAAACATCCATTAGCCTACATAAATAATTTTGTTTTATTAAGCTCAAAGATTTGTTTCAAAACTATTTAAAAATTCAGTTTTAATTTCCAGCAAATAAATAAATAAAAATAATAACGAAGTGTGGTCAAAAAACTGAGTTATATCCAAATACACGTGCTACGCCCCATATGGTCCAAAACCTGACAGGTGAACAAATCTAAGTTTGTTTTTCATTCATTCATTTTCTTTTTAGCTTAGTCCCTTTAATAATCTGAGGTCATCACAGCGGAATGAATATTTTGTAATATTTTATTCCTTTAATTCTTTTTCATTTGTAAAGATATTTGCGTATTGATCTACATCCTGTGTGCATTAAGCAATGTTTAAGCGAGGCGCACAACTAACCCGCTCTGCAGTGGACTTTAGACCTCCTCTCAGCTGGTCTATTGAGCAGTCTTTTTTAGTTCCTCAAAATAGCAACTTGCCAGCAATGCATCTTAACACACCTCCTTATTTAGACTAGAATGCCTATGGGCGCACATACAGTATGAGCGCAAATGCATATGCTATTTAAACAGCATGGTGCAAAACGTCAAAACGACACTTGCATCAAGCTGAAACTAGCAAAAAACAATTACACCACGCTGGGTGAATGATAGGGGCCTTAGTTAGTAGATTCAGTTAGTGGAACAGTACACTGACTCATCTGCTGTGAAAAAAAGAGACCTGATAATGATGATGAGAGAAAAAGAGATGCCTGTTTTTTCACAACACGCTTTCTCATTGAGTGTGTGATTAAATCAGACCTAATTTTTTAATACATTTTGTAAATTTTGTAATTTTTTTGAAAAGTAACTAAAAAAATTATACTTATTTTTAAAAGTAATGCATTATATTACCTCTAATTTGGAAAAGCAATATTATTACGTAACACGCGTTACTTATCATGCATTACCCCCAACCCTGCTTACAGTATACAATATTTTGCATATGCTATATTCATTCATTCATTCATTCATTCATTCAGTCTTAATATATACACAGTGACTTGTGTGATATGCTTATAAGCCATTGTGTATGTATTTGTTTGAATTTAAAAAGTACAAAGTTTAGTTTCAGCTCCATCTCTTATTATTACAGTACTTTTCTTAGATTTTATAACTGATATCCTGTTTTACACTAAACTGATTAGCTTTTTATTTAATGCATCATATTTAATGAATGATAAAGTAAAATTATTATTATTTTTTTTTTTTCACGTTGTGTGGCTTACTGGCTTTGATCAAAACAGAATCATGATCATCAATACCTTCATCACCCCAACTACAAATTACTGTAAATATTACGCATAAAATTTGTTTTTGATTTTAAGTCAGGCTTTCTAAGCCCTCATATCCAAATAGTGTGGCGAGCGTAAACCATTAAAAAGTGTGTTATGGAAAATAATATGTTTAATGATCCGTGAGTCTTTGTGCTCATCAGTTATTTTAGAGTGCATTAGAAAAGCGCCGACAAACCGCAAAAGATATCTTCATTCTCTCAGTATTCTCATCTATGAGCTGAACTATTTTTAAATACTTGTGCTTTTCAGTGTTTATGTCATTCTCTATTAGGTAATCCCGAGAAATGTGTTTTAGCTGGTAAGCTATTATATTTTTCAGGGTATTTGTTATTGTTATTTGTGCTTATGGTGGCCTTTCACATAAATCCTACAGTACATTGATAATATTAGACAATTTTAGTAGTTGAAAAGGCACTACCAATCTTCTTAAAAGTTAATTATTAATAAAAAGACTTTTACGAAGAGTCTTTTAATTATTTTATGATGACTCTTATGCTCAGTAGGCTATAATTATTTGTACATTTTTCAAAACAGTAAAATCTTGAACTATTATTTATTCATTCATTTTCCTTTGGCTTAGTCCTTTTATCCATTAGAGGTCGCCACAGAGGAGTGAACTGGCAAATTATCCAGCATATGTTTTACACAGCTGATGACCTTCCAGTTGCAACCCAGTACTGGGAAAGACCCATACACTCTTACATTCACAAACATACACTATGGCTAATTTCTTTCTTTCTTTCCGGCTTAGTTCCTATATGTCTTGTTTCCACTGACTGGTACAGTACGGCACAGTTCGGGTCAGTATGCATCGATGTCATTTTCTCTCGAGAAAATGTCTAAAGTAAAGCTGTACGGGTCTCTTATCATATGAAAAGCACTTCTAACACAACAGACACTTTATACACATGAATACTTTTGTATAAATGTTTTTTTCTCTTGTTAGAGAGTCATTCCATCATTCTGAGTTCATAATAGTCCAATAGGTGATGCTGTGATGACAGAGCTGATTTTTTCAGCAGTATAAGCAGTCATTCTACAGTCTCTAGTAACACAATTATTTAAAAATCAGACAGTTTAAGGCAAAATTTTTAACCCTCCTTTGATTTTTTTTTTTTTTTTTTAAGTGGTGAAATAGATCAAGAAAAGTTATATTATGTATATCTTTTTTTATTATTCTGAAGTGTTATTTCTTTTCTTTTGGCTGGAATTAGTTTTAAATTAGTTATGATTAGTTACATTTATATTATTAAATATTAAAATATTTTCTAAAAAGTGTTGAAATAAAATTTTTTACTGTTAAACAGTTTCAGTATGAATAGTATTCTGTCTTTACCTATATAGACACACAGTGTTTGAAGTTATTATAACATTTCTTCTTAATTTCAAACCTGTATTTTTTAACACTTTTCTTTAAACATGTCTCAAAACATGGCACCTTATTTGTTAATTTATGTTTTTTTTAGATGCTTTGAAATAGAAATTATCTTATTCATCACAGACATTTAGAGGCATATATTTCCTGCTCTTTTTTTATTTATTTATTTTTTGTCCTTTTTCCACCTTTACCCAAATAGTGTAGGCCTGAATTAGAGTAGTTACTGAGCCCTTTTACTCCAAGATCTACTCACTCCAAGATCTACTCAAATGCCCCCGCCACTGGTACAAATTCTGCTTTCCCTTTCCCCTTCGCGTTCCGCAATATCCGTGGAGGTCCAGAACAGGTGGTGCTGCTTATAATGAGTCAGTGAGTAAACCATCGCAGTCATCAGTCTTCCCAGCAACCCCTCAGTCAGACCATGCTGTGCCCTATGAGAAAGTGCAACTTCACCGTGGTCTGTTAGTATCAGCTCTCTATTGATTGCGGCTGTGAATCATTCCCATTAATGCAGTTTTACCAT